TGGAATCCCGCCGCTGTGCGATTCGTCTTTCGAAGCGGCCTTTGCAGCGGGCACGGGCACCGGATCAGGGGGCGCCCTGGTACCCCTGCCTGTGCCCTCGCCCGGGCCCTTCGGCTTCGACGTCGAGGAGGACGGGCGGATCAACCCGCTCGCGGGGATGGGCCTCACGGACGAGCAGTATAACACCATACTGCAGAACATTGTGAATGGGGAGGGGTTCATGGGCGGTGTGGAGGGGAGTGGGGGGAGGGAGAAGAGGATGCTGGAGGTGGGTGAGGGGGAGGAGGAGGGGAGTGGGAGGGAGGGGAAGAGGAGTCGGTTTGAGGTTGTTGAGTAGGCTGGGCGGGTCAGTTGGTTGCTTGGTGCCGCGCCCTCCTTGGGCTTTTTGGCTGGTGGGCTGTGTGGTGCTGCCATCACGTTTTTTCTTTTCTTTTTTCTTGGCAGATGTGGGACGGCTGGTGACCGAGACTACGCATATAGACCCCGACTCCGTTTCCCTTGTACTGGTTGTACTGGAAGACTTCCTTCCACTTGGCCTGGCCATACCCCCTCCCCTCACCCATGCGTTATTTATTACCCCTGCTCCCACCCCTTCTCAATTCCTTGTTGTGTGTTGTGCTTTCGATATCATTGCTATCACATACGTATACGGTCGGAGTCATTGAGAACTCACAAACGACCATACCATTGTATTCATGCATCTATCTACCTATGTATCGCTAATTGAAACAATAGATGACTTCTTGCTGCTTACCTTCAAGTCTCGTTGTGTGTACTCAGATGCTAGCAGGAACATCCAGGACCTCGCCATAGCACGCCTACATCATGAAATAAAGTCATTTATAGGCATTCCAGTGTACATGTGAATTTAGCACAGAATCTCATCGTCTTATCTATCTTGTTAACCAGATATCGAGGGATGGCTAGGTATAGACCACCAAACTTGAACAAGGCAAAACAAGGGGCAGTACTAGCATAACGATCATGAACACCGTCCCTGTTGCACATGTGTCTGGCTATGGATGGGTCCGGGACTATAACCTCGTCGGAACGTGTTCCAAGTTGGGGGTGGACTGATGAAAGTGACGAGGGTTTCGCTGAAAGATTTTAATGATCTTGGGAAAGGGGAGCTTGACACGACGAGTACAGCACCTGTTCAGATCACTTGCAAAGACTTCCGGAGCATCTAGTCGCCGATCCCATGATATGAGACACGAAGCCTTGTAACTTGAAGCTTAGAACGTTAGGCTTTCTCAGGAAGTTGATCTTTGCTGAATTGTTGAGTGTGGTTGGCAGCAGCGTTCTCTTGCAAAATGACTCGATTTTGTCTTCTAAGCCAATGTCCACAGACGTTCGAGGCAATAGTCGCTAGCGGTATGTGAGCTGTACTGTACTAGAAAACGGTCGTGATAGGCGGCTTGGATTGAATAGAAACAATGCTGTGCATGGGCGGCGTCGGCACAGCACCGGATGGAATAATTGACAAGATGAAATCAAAGCAATACATAGCAAGATATTGTTCCTCATACTGGAAGTCGGCTCTGGACAACGCTGAACATGGAGCGGTCCGCCAAGAATCGGAAGGCACGACGTTCAACACCACAACCCCAGGCCAAAAATCTTCTCCATTTCGCTCTCCTCATGATGCCGATCGCCACTCCACGCCCTATCAGACTCCTCATCGTCGACGTGGTACGACCTCCCAAAATCGATGAGCCGGAAGCTCGGGTTATCCTTGCTCCGCTCAGAGGGCGGGACGTCAAGCGGCCCTGGCTGGATGAGCAAATTGCGAGCGTATACTGAGCCGTGAGCCCACCCGAGGTGGTGGAATCGGTAGATGAAGGACAAGGCTTCGTGCCTGTTGAAGGATAAGGTCATCAGTTATGGAACAAGGTATATGAACGCATGCGAGATGTTTACTTTTGGTCAAGGGTGAGATCACCAGGGCGGACCTCTCTTCCGCAGTCTTCGAGAAGTAGGATAGGGCTGAAGTGACCCCGAGGTTCACGTTCCTTCTTAACAGGTTTCCTGGCGTCAGAGTCGCCTCTTTCCCCCTTCTCGCCAGTTTCACTCCCGCCATCAGCGTCCGAACTAGTGTCCGCATCGGTCATCTGCCCCTCATTCACCGGTTCCTGCACCTCCACAACATGCTCCGCCTCCTCATCCTCCTCCTCAGGCACATAATACCCATAAAACCGGGGCACCATTGCCCCCACTGGCACCGGATCATGCATCGGCGGCAACACATTGAACCCACTCCACTCCTCATACATATGTCGCTCAAACTTCTGATAGTTCCTCGACTCCCTCTGCAAATGGTCGTCATCCTCATTCGACAGCTTCGCCACCACCCGCATCTTCACCGTCGGCGGCACCGGCACTGGCGGGCTCAGATGCTCGCACGTCGGGTGAGCCGGGTCCTGCCAGGCGACCGAGGTGCGGATGGGACGCACGCGGCCTTCGAACTCGGCGCGGTAGGAGCAGGTGTCGGGGGGGCTGAACTCGCGCCCGTCGGGTTTGGCGTCAGGGTTATTGAGGTTCACGGATTCGACGACGTGGAAGGTGACGGGGGGCCGGCCTTCCTGTATTATCGACACCTCGCCGGCCATCTCTTTCCATTGGGGGTCCATGTGCTCGCCGTTCTCGCCGTCGCACTCCTTCAGGATGCGGGCGACGTCGGCGTTGACGCAGTCCTTGCAGAGAACCGGGTCGGTAGAAGGTGATGGGAGGACAGCGGAGCGCGGAAGCTCCCACTCGGCTTGGTATACGATTGAATGGTTGCCTTTGCCGATAGGATGCGCGGGTGAGATGTACAGATGGGCCTCACCGATGGGCTCGGGGTCGCTGGGTACAGGTGCTAAAGGACGGGGAGGCAGATCATGCTGTACGAAGATAGGTGGTGGAATTGGGCCGGGGACTGCAGGAGGTCGGATCAAGTATCCCCCGAGCTGCTTCTCCGTACCAGAGGTCTCGTCGCCGCTTGCAGAAGACAAAATCGAGAGTTCCGGGGCCGGATCCTTGCTTGACTTCGATGGAGCTTTAGCCTCTGCCTCGGCTTTAGCCTTCAGGCGGGCCGCCTCCGCTGAAGCAGACAACTGGAGTCTATAAACATGTACACGATCGGGCCGCGAAGTCCATTCCATGTCTTTGGGCGATCTTTCAGCGCGTCCGTAGCGATTTTGTGTTCGGACGGCGAGAAGATTCCATGGATCGTGAACGATGAGCTTTTTTGGGAGGCGATCGGGGTCGATGATGGACCTCAGCGGTGTTGTCTGGTAGCTGAAGGGAACGAGGGGCCAGGGAGCGGGATAGTTGGAAGGTTCGAAGATGGATCCCGTCGATGCCTGCGATGAGGAGCGTCAGGCTATGACTTTATGGCTAAAGTGTAGCGGACCTGTTTTCCCTTGACGGCTCTCGCGGCTGGCATGGACTGCCCCGCGACCCCCTTCCTGATGTTTTCCTCCATCTTCTCAATGTCTTCGCGCGGCGACCACGGGTCAATGACCTTCGGCTCCTCCTCCATCTCCGCCCACTCAATTTCGTCCTGGGCATGGTCCAGCTCCCCGTTCGCTTTCATCCACTTCACCAGCTTGCTCCCTGTGGTGATCGTCCTGAGATTTGGTAGGTCGGGTATGCGCCGCACGTGATAGAAATCGAAGAGTGTTGAGCCCCAGAGCTGGAGGCCGTTCGGCGTCGTCTTTCCGGGAAGAGTATTTTCAGGCGTAATGCACTTGCCATCGGGCGCGCGAGGCCAGCAGCGGAAGACCATCCGTTTCCGTGTTCCGTCCCCAGGGATGAATTCCTTAGCCTCGGTGGTCGAGGCTTTCGCCGCAGTGGGTATGCTCGATGCTCCAGGTGACCCCTTCATGTTAGGCCCGGGATTGTATCGAGCCAATATAGCGATGAGATCCGCTGCGGTGAAGTTACGAGGTTCTTCTTTTGGGAAGTTGAACATAGGGAGTGGAGGTGCTGGTTCGGAAAGCACCTCGAGGTCGGGGATCACAGTCATGGGCGTGTTTTCCGTGTCCATGGTGGATTTGGGTTGATGTTCGATCGTGGCTTCTGGGGTCCGATCAGCACATATCGCCTAGTAATATGGGATAGACATACAGCAGTGAAGCACGAACGAGAGAGGTTCACGCTGCGCGTAGAGAGGGTTGAAAACTGTATACAGTATTCAGCGAGACTTCCGGAGAATGAAGGTACAACTGACCAGTGGTTGACTCCCGATGGGTGGCTCTGATAACCTGGGCGAGGTGAAAACGGGGTCAAGTGCTCTTGTTGACTCGGACGCGCCCTGTGTAAGCGCACGTGTCTGTTGATGCGTATCGATAACCTGATTGTGTTCTTCAAACAATCGGCCAGAGACCTACTGCATAGTCCGCGGCAGTCTCAGCATGGATGTCGAAAAATGATGACGAGCGAACGTTACGCGTACCAGCAGGTCCAGCAGTCAACTCCGTTACTTCGAACGACTACCACCCAACTTCCAGCCTCATGCACTTAGCAAATCCGTCAAGGCTCAACACGATGCCCTGATTTACGTTATGGTCAACGAATCGGTTATGGAAGATGCCTAAAATGTGGAACAAAGAATCTGGTGGGAAAATTCGGCGCGTGAGCAGGTATGTGTGGCCATTTGGAGCGCCATTTATGCCAGAAACGACGTACTTGGTTTTTAGGACTCCGTTTCGTCGATTTCGCTCACATTCCACGAACAGGCCTCACCGCTGTTGAAGATGGTCGTGCAACTTGGACAAGGACGGTGTCAGGCACGGCATCCTCATTTGGAAAGGTCGGCAGTCAATATTCAAATATTCACGGCCCGCCGCGCCCTCGATGACCAGGAAAGGAATGCGTCATTGGTTGAGAGCCACTTGTTTATGTCTCGAATGTGTTCAGTCTTGAGTCCGACTCTTGACTAGCTTGACTGCTCAACGAAATCTGTATACCTGTCTGCTCAGTGCTAGTCACAGGGGCAAAAATAGATAGTAAATGCTTGGGGGCACCGCGGATCGAACGCGGGACCTTCAGAATTCAGATGCGTAATGTCTATCGCAACTTCAGTCTGCTGCTCTCCCAGCTGAGCTATGCCCCCATTGTACCGTAGGTAAGTGGAGACACAATCCTTGACAAATGGACGACTCCTCAGTTGAGTCTCATGACGCTCCAGTAACACAAAGAAACATGTTGCGGGAAGTGGTACCGTTTTACACGGAAACATGTTCTATAGACCGATGGTCGTACCATGTCTGGGGCACGCAACAGGGATGGAAGCATCTCCTCAACCATGTGGGTAGTATACACCACCGCCGGCTACAGCACATGTATTTCGCTTAGAATTGAATAGTAGAAGCGACGCGAACGTGAAATGTACCAGTATATTCCAGATCGTTCGTTTAAAAGCGGGGTACACGAGTCAGCCCCATATCAGATGCGCACCTTGAGCATATGCATTGTAAGGGTCCGTAAGGGGGGAGATCACAGGGCGACGGTGCTGCGCCTGGTCAGGCTCATGATCGCCGCATGATCGATCGCTCGTACGGGGTTTTCGGTGACCATTAACTGATCAGCGGGGGCATCAAAGGCGACAAAGCCCAATCACGACGCGTCTATTTCGCCTATGTATGTAGATCCTTCCCCGCTTGCGGATCCAAACAGAGCAGCGGACATAGTACCAAGGGTTCCTCGGTGTCTTGATATTGAATGAGAGGGCGAGACCAAAACTTGAGACATGTGGAGGCTGCCCCTGCCTTCGGCTGTCTAATATTGGAGCAGGGTTGGATGTCGTCGAAATTCATGGATTAGACAATGCCTATTAGCAAAGTTCGAAATAGAATATCAGAGTAACTGCTCCATAGAACGTGGAAACTCGCGACCTCAAGTAGCATCCGCAGCCTGGCAGGTGCCTGATAGAAACCTGGATTGTGTACATAGCGAAATTAAGGCCTGACAAGAATACCGAAGCGTCGCCTTACAGAAGTTGCGGTCGGGTCCATTCCTGTCAGGCTGTAAGGATGTCAACAGTTTCTCGTTAGCTCCGCGTTATACCATGGCGTATATAATTAGACAATGCCGAGGTTTGTCTTGTACAACCTCATGACCCAACTTGAACAGGGACAGGAAGAACGATCGGTAGGTATCGCAGAAGCGAAACTCAAATCCGCGTGGTCTTTTCCGATCTAAACTGATATATCCTTGAGACCTCGAAAACATCGGCCTCGAGGTCTGAGAATGGCAACTCTAGGTAAAATAGACGATCTGGCTCCGCAGCCATCAGGGAAGTTTGAGTCCGCGTGGACTACCTGCCCGATCATCCCGAAAGAAAGAGAAAGTTGAAGACATACAGAGCCATCCAAGCTGCGAGGTTTCGTAGAACACTGCGCTCTTTATCACGATTGAGGAATTCCGAGTTAGTGGATCTCGCGATAGAAAGGATTGTATGTGGTAGCGTCTTCGATGGTCACGATTTTACCAATCGCATAGGTGTCATCTTGGACTGTGACGTACTTCTGCATCTCGCTTTTTGCCTTCATAGCTCCGAGGGCATTGCGACGGATTGATTTTCCTGTAGGAGGATATATTGAAGTGAGCACGAAAGGTCAAGTATGAATGGATGTTACGATATAGAATACTAATCTGAGCTACACTATCGTTGTCCGGCCGTCCTCTTTCGCATCGACTGCTTCTGTCGCGGGTGCGTCCTGAGTATGTCCTGGCCGTTCGATGACCCGTTTGATGTTGTCCTGATTCTTGACCCATTCCTTTCGACATCATCAGTCATCAGCAAAGCAAGGCATACAGAATCTCGATAGCTTACATTCATGCTTTATGCTGTTAGCAACGCTCCTGCGACACTCTGGACAGCTGCGCACGCGGCCGATGGCTTTCTACGAGGCCGGTACCAGACTTCGCCGCGCCGTTCGACATTACAAACTCCCTGTGCAGAACTGTAAGTGCTTTGGCGGTCGATCCTTCTGATGGCGTCAGATTGGGATCGAGTTCTTTTGTCCTTTCTTCTGGAATTGGGAGAATAGCTTCGCGAAGACATAAAATCCCCACTCACAATGAAGACAATGCGCGTTGAGATGATAAGTGCACGATACGAGAGATGATTACGTGAAAAATTGGAACCTGTCGATGTCGGTCAGATGGTCGTATGGGACGGTGAATTGAAGCTGGAAGGCAAATTTAGTAAGGTTAGCTGTCAAGGAACAAAAAAGGCAGAGGCATTGCAAAGCAAAGAGAAAACGAAAACAGGTCCGTCAAGGCATCAACCAAACGATAAAGACAATCTCGTGACGCCGGCGCGACGAACCAATCTGCAAACCCTGCCAAGCTAAGGAATTGAAGACTCACGCTTGGACTTCCGCGTTCGTTCTATGCGTGCCATAACGAGACGACGTGGCTGGACGAGTGACTCGCGATTATACATAATAGACTCCAGGACACACTCTATGATAGCCTGCGATCAAATAAGATACCAGTCATGAGCGAAGGCATTGGATAACGAGCCAATGCCCACCTTCCACGTCCGTATCAATCCGGTGGCTCACTCACTGCCTTCAGGTTGTCGTGGGTAGTGATAATTGCTTTCCTTGGTCGCCTATGCGTCCCGTCCATGTACTCGCAAAATATTATTGGTCAACGAGGACCGTCTGCGTGATGATGGTATCGATCAGTAGGGACAGCGTTAACTTTAACTTATGCTCGCCAACTCACCAGAGTCGATGTTTCAGGACAGTATTGAAAGTAACACGACGTGTCGGTGACGCTGGGTGTCCAAATTCGAGGCAAGTTGCCCCATCAGACTGAAAAGATAGTACTACAGTCATATGTTAACTCACGAGTGCCAACTTGCGGAGAAATACCTAGCTTTACCAACGTAGGTTATTCGTCAGTTCAAGCCGCATTGGGTCGCTAATTATAAATGGTCAACCGATTATTTGAGCTCCGCCACCGAACTTGGCTCAGCGCCGGTTGACCAGGACCTTTACATCAAATTTCAAACAGACACTACAGAATCGGGCTCTTCATCCTCCTAGAGGGCTACAAGAATCAGTTCCGACCCTCGAACGTTTGTTACGGTTATTGTTCCAAAAACGCGAAGAAAAATCCAAGACCACCCTCCGAGATACGCTTTGGACCAAAACCACCAAATACGGCTAACTGTTTCAACGATTCAGTTGTCCGGGTTAGCAGCAAAATTTTGCGAGCAGTGTGAGGGCTTGCAAGTCCGTTCAGCCTCACTATGCGGAGTTATAAGCTTGAAGATATACACTGGTGATTTACTCCTTGGACGTCATCAACGCACTTCAAGCTGTAGATTCCTGGGCAGGAAGCTCCTCACACAGCTTTACCACTTATCTCGTGTTCTCCTAACCGTTTTATTGATAGGGATGATCTCCCATTGATATCGGTGGACTGGCAACTGCTCACCCCATAGAGCCGCGAGTCTGTGACTTGAGCCTTTCCCCTCAGTTCGATGGACGGTCACTGTCCGTCAACGAGACCTGTCCCAAATCGTCCTCTCGCCTATCCGACACAGAGTTCGAATTATACCTTATCATTGCCAGCTCACGCTAGTTTTTCAGAAAGACTTGTCTGCCACTCCACTATCAGCTGGTGTCTGCAATCTGTCCTTCTCAGCGCTCGCTGTCGAAGAAGCACTTGATGTCATTGACATACATAGAGACGCTCTTCCATCGTATGTCTTGTGATCTGGGGTTGCGCGCCCGACTTGTGGCGACCGAAGCTGATTGTGTTTTCTTCTCTAGGGTTCATTTTTCTGTTTAGCAAGAAGCAACTTCAACACCAGTCTGCATAACATGATAGATCCACGGCTTCAATCGCTAGGTATAATCGCCCAGGCCTCGACATTAAACGGTAGCTCAAGCAAGTACTTATTTCTCTCCATATGATCTAGAAAGAACCCCATTCCCAGAATACTAGGAACCTCGCTTCTACGTTCCCACCTGCTATAATCTATCACCAAGAATTTCGGCTGCGAAGCAAAATATCCTGAACGGGAACAAAGCTTCAACCTTCACAAAGATAAGATATCCATCCTTAAATCTCCGGCCGCAGTCCTCTCGCACATTCCCGGGATCCCCTTCCATTCTTCTCTATCGAAATTTACAGCGTGTCGACCTCTTTGGATATCAGAAACGCCACGCCATGACGTGAGAAGCGCGACCGAACGGAACGGCCGGACGACAGTGGAGTGTGCCACTTGTAGATACTCCTGCAGTTCTCACCACTCTGCAGACGTCGAAAATACTCGAAGCGGTGTTTTTTCTTCTCTTTCCCTACGACTTCGATGCTCAGTCATCTTCGGTGTACGGAAGGAATGATCATGGGTCCCGATCACGATCACGATCACACTCCGAGGAGCTCTGGGGTGCTCTGTGGGTGCCTATTGATTGACGAGCGTTATGCATCATCGAAAGGTCCCAGTTCTTCGCATTCACTATACGGTACTTACCTGAGCAGCGTATAAGCCCGTTCTTTGATTGGTATCCCGATATTTTTCTCTGATCATGATCAATTTGCCAGACACACCCCGGCGGCTTTGATCACAGATGCCTGCTACGACGAAAGAGCGCTGAAGGAGTGCCGCGGCAGTGGAAGAGTTCGATCATGACAGCGAGAAGCAGAAATACGTGCCTCGGAGGAGTTACAAGATGAGACGCGATCGCCACGCGTAAGTGGCCTAGCGCGCGATCATAGTCCTGCTTGGACCTACTTGGACTATGTCTCTCCGGAACTACTTAGGTGTCCCGGTCAACAAGAGAGCGAGATCCGTGTGATGCGATCGTTGTCATCAGCCTACAGACAGACCTACTACGATCTTTACTAATACTCAGTCCAACAGTAGTGATGTGATGAAACCACAAGACGAATATAACTCAAGTTTGTGCAGGGAGAGGCGGGGCAGCAAGGCCCCGCTGTGCAAAACGAGTATTTTTAGTGCAGTGCCGTTAAGTATCTGTAGCGTGATTCTGTCAAATAGAAACACTCGAAAAATGAATCACCTCGGTGGAATGATACTGACCTGGGGTAAAACGTGTAAATCCCCACAGCACGCCGCTGCCCGCT